GCATAGTGATTTTCGTGGCTGAGTTAAGATTCAAACCGTTTTCTTTACGCCCTAGCCAAACACTCTTACCACTACACAACATTGGTTCTCTACTGTACAGTTTACTTATAAGTAAAAGATGTTACTCTTACTCTAACACACAATAAGCATGTATTCTATGTGACAACTTTGACAGATGATCTGAATTATGACCTGAATCATGACCTGAATCCAAATTCCTATGATCCATCACTACATTTTTAAGTTATGCTGAATTGATCCTGTTTAATTGCTCTATTTCTATGCCACTATATGTTTCTATCCACCTTATTGACCACCCCATCCTTTAACTAGTTTCGCATATTGGCCCCCTTCCCCCGCCAAAAATGAGTCTGTTGTTGCTTTTGATGCTTGTTTATTATTGTTTATGCTGTTTTATACTATTTTAATATGCTATTCTGTTTTTAATTGTATGTTGCCTTGGGCTTTGCCCCATGTAAGCCACCCTGAGTCCCCTCGGGGAGATGGAGGTGGGGTAGAAAAATAAAGTTGTTGTTGTTGTTGTTGTTGTGTTGTTGTTGTTGTTGTTGTTCTTCTTCTTCTTCTTCTTCTTCTTTCTTCTTCTTCGTCTCCTCCTCCTCCTCCTCTATGTACCACTAGCATATATATCCAGTGTTGCACAAGTGTTGTAGGGGCTGCTCTCTTGTTTTCATCCCTTCTTTCTCTATCCCTCTCCTCATGTCCATCCCTCTTTCTTTTCCTCTCCCTCCCTCCCTTCCTTTTTTCTTTCAATCCCCTCCCTCATTTCCTTCTCCTTTCCCTTATTTCTCTCTCCCTCTCTCTCTTCCTTTTCTTTCCCTTCCCTAGTTCTGAGAAGGCCTACTCGCAATATATACAAGGCAATACAGCTCTCTTTGTGGCTCTTCTCTCCCTCCCCCCATCCATCCATATGTCACCTTTCTTTCCCTGTAACACCACAGAGGACCACTTCACACACCAATAGCCTTTGTTGTACAGACAAATACAGCAACAGACTTACAAACTTTGGGTTTTATATATATTAAAGGCAGAGCTAGTAGAGGTGTGTGTAGGAAGACCCCGAAGAACAGTGAAAACTTTACCTCTGTAACAAAGTAATTTGCATAGAATGGGAACAGCTTTGCTGGAAATAGAAGCCTTGTGAAAGAGACATAGGGAGGGTGACCTGATTTTGTATGATAAAGTGTTGACAAATGATGTGTGTCTTGTTTTCCTAAATTACATTGCTGTCTTTTCTGAAGAATACCTGCCTGGCTTTGCTGCTGGAGTGGGCCACAACGTTGTGTGACAATACTTTGTTTAATGTTTCCAGACAGCTATGCATGACAGCTATACACGACAGGACATTTGGGTTAATTTGTTTCAGAGTTTGGAAAGTTACTTTTTTGAAAGAACTTTGTTTAAAATTCCCTGCCCAACTTACCAGGCAAAGTAGTTGCAGGGTGGGTGTTCCTCTTTGGCTTGGCAATCAGACTGAACATCTACAGTTCAGTCAAATTGGCTGCAAGGGGGCAGACTTGAGGCAGACCTCTTCCCTCTAGTCCTCTAGCTGGGTATGTATCCCAGGTCTAGCTGCTTCTCCAGCTCAATTGCCTTCAAGCTGTCCCTGCTCACCCACCCACCCACTTTAGGTAGTTTGGTTTGTTTGTTGTTCAAGTTTTGCCTGGTTCTGTATTTTGTTATCCATCATAACTTGTGGGCATTTGGTATGGGCTCTGAATCCAGTTTTGCTCTTGTACCCCCTCAGGATATTCAAGGTTTTCCCAGGCTTATGCCAGGGGCAGGCTGCGAAAGGAGCCTGGAATAGTGTCAGACTGGTGCCTGCACAGGATTCATCTCAGTGAATTCCAGCCCTGGTTTGCATGATTGTGGCACAGCTAGCTGAGTGTCAGCTGCATTAAGATCACTCTGACCAAAAGGTCATGAGTTCGAAGCCAGCCCGGGTTGGAGTGGGTTTCCAACCAATTGTGTGTAGTCTGTTGTTGACCTTTGCAACCCAAAAGACAGTTGCATCTGTCAAGTAGGAAAATTAGGTACCACCTTAAAGTGTGGGGAGGCTAAATTAATTTATGAGGCCATAAAGAAGACTCCAGCAAAGCATTCCAGTGGGGAAGCATGCGGGGAATGCGGAAGTGCTTCATCAGCGTCGCAGATGGACAATGAAAGCGACAGCTCCCCGGCGGCCAGAAAAATGTTTTGCAGTTGTTATTACTAGTTGGAGGTAATTTACAACATTGGCATTGAATTTTTGCCATATATGTGTACACTGTATTCCGCCCTGAGTCCCCTGCGGGGTGAGAAGGGCGGAATATAAATACTGTAAATAAATAAACAAACAAACAAATAAATAAATGAGGCAATTGGTACAGTTTGTGTTTACCTCTCCCTCTGGGGTCATTGGCTCAGTGTCCGGACTGGCTGATGTTGAGACCCAGGACCCTTGTGTTGCTGCCTATCCTACCTCAGCTGTAACCAATAGATTCAAGTTGTGGCCTTTGTTACCTCAATCACTGTGTGGCTTGTCTATTTTTGGGTGGAGAGGCAGGGCACATTGCCTTGACACACATCTTGTGGTTTGTAATATTTTAAACAATGTCTTATTGTATTGTCGAAGGCTTTCATGGCTGGAATCACTAGGTTCTTGTGGGTTTTTTGGGCTATAGCCATGTTCTAGAGGCATTTCTCCTGATGTTTCGCCTGCATCTATGGCAAACATCCTCAGAGGTACCTCACTACCCCTGAGGATGCTTGCCATAGATGCAGGCGAAATGTCAGGAGAAAATGCCTCTAGAACATGGCCATATAGCCGAAAAAACCCACAAGAACCTACTAAATCATTACCTTTACACATTACAGCATTGGGTTAAAGCCTTTGCATTACATTCTATGTTTTTTGATTTTTTAAAATTTATTTTTAAGTACATTACAGTTTCTGCCAAATACTTTAAAGTGCCTTCAGAAAGTAGAGTAAAATTATTAGGAGTTTCATGTACATCTGTTAAGTAACTTCCTTCCTACTCATTGTTAATGATTCTTCACAGGATCTGGGCCACAAAATAATTAACTCATTTCAGAAACTACATTACTTGTAATTCAGTGTCTCCAATCTCTGAAAGTGTTATTCTTTGAGATGGCCCAATGCTTCTTTTGTCCTTCTTCTAGTGGTAGTTATCATTACCTGGTAGAAACTGTGATAATACTTCTAGTTCAGTGGTTCTCAATCTGTGAGTCCCCAGGTGTTTTGACCTACAACTCCCAGAAATCCCAGCTAGTCTACCAGCTGTTAGAAATTCTGGGAGTTGAAAGCCAAAACATCTGGGGACCCACAGGTTGAGAACCACTGTTCTAGGTACATGGCTATTGATTCCTGCAGCTGTTGCTGCTGAAATGATCTAATTTCCCATCTTGGCTTTGGTTCACCATAAAATAGCTCCCCCAGGAAAAAAGCATACAGAGACAAGAAATTTGAATGACATTTTTAATGCATGTGTTTATTTAGCAATTCAGAGAAACGGCTACAAATCCGCGTGTGGAATTTTAATCTCTGCATTTTTGGGTTGTCCCAAAGAGCCATGTTGGATTGCTCTGCATAGTCTGCAACTCATCTCAGTTCAGCGAGATTTCAAATTATATAATGTGTGGGAAAGAGAGAAAAATGATTGGATAAGCATAAGCTGCATACACAAATTCTGGTGGAATATGCTTTCTGGATAGTTTCTCATTTGGTTTAGTGAAAACAGTTATTTTAATTAGTGCTTCCAAATTAATTTTTTGTTAAGAACAGCAGTTCTGAGTCTATAAAAAGAAGAGCAGTTTCGATTCTATAAAAATGAGATGAAAATATAAAAAAGTTCTCTTTAATTACTTAGCGGAGGCAAATGGTCAAAATCGGGCTGATGTCGCGTGCTGCGGAAGTAGAATTGCGGAATGTGTGAGACGACAGGCGGGACATTACATCTCGTAGAGGAGCACTCGCTCTACGGAATAATCGTACTTCAGACATATAATCGCGAACGGTGCTGCTAAACTGTGGAAACATGTGAGCTTTGAGTGTGCACAGACTCTACAGCACATTTTTACATAGGGGCACATCTAAGCCGAAGCCAGTTGTCCGTAGACACCTCCAAGGTCATGTGGCCGGCATGACTGCATGGAGCACCGTTACCTTCCCACCAGAGCAGTACCTACTCACATTTGCATGTTTTCGAACTGCTAGGTTGGCAGAAGCTAGGGCTGACAGCGGAAGCTCATGCCGCTCCCCGGAATCGAACCTGCGACCTTTCGATCAACAAGCTCAGCAGCTCAGTGCTTTAACACACTGCGCCACCGGGGGCTCCAACAAAATAATAAAATGACATAATAAATGATATTTTTCAGAGTTGGGAAAATCAATGCATGAAATATTGAAGCCAAAGTAACGAATTTAAGTCAATCAAACATTCATTTATCAAGAGGGTTCTTTTATTATGTCAACAAAATAATAAAATGGCATAATAAAAGAACCCTCTTGATAAATGAATGTTTGATTGACTTAAATTCGTTACTTTGGCTTCAATATTTCATGCATTGATTTTCCCAACTCTGAAAAATATCACATACTTGTTCAATAAATCAATGTAGAGTGAGTTTACTTTTGAGAATTTATTCCTAAAGTGTTCCGAGAAAGAAGCAAGTGAGAACAGTGTCTTTGGAGCAATTAGCATTTCCTTTCACTCAGGGGAAGAAAAAGAGAAAAGTCAAAATAAGGAATGGCAAAAAAAAAAAAAGGAAGAGAAGTGCTTTAAATCCTTGGTTACCTTGCTTTTTCCGGATCTGGAGAACATTTTCCAGTTAGGCGATGTGAAGTCTAGCACAAACAATAGCAGCCCCAGCAGAGAATGATGCTGGTTCCTTCAAACGCTGCCTTAGAAATGAGTCCCTCCGCTCTATGCAAAGTAATTGGTCTAATTAGGTGGAAGGAAGGAGCGCCTTTAAATTCCTCAGAAAATTAAGTCGTGTCATCCACTTAACTTCTTAACATCTGTTCCTACCTCTTGCGCAGCTCCCACCGTACAGGTCTGAAGGACATTTCTTGCTCTGGATCGGGGGCCGTATTTTCCCCCCTTCCTCAAACTAAGAAGAGCTGGCCTTCATTTTGGTGAAATGAAGCAAGTATGGCACCTCCACCCATCTTTATTTCTCAATTTGATGCATATTTGCTTGGGTAAGTACAACAAACCTCTTGGCTCCTACAAGTAGGATGATAGCATATGCTTAAGCTTTGTAGTTATCCTTGGTAATGTTACCTCCCAACTCTTTCATAAATAGAATTTGCTATTCCTCTCCTCGATCCCATGGATCTCCTCTCCTCTTCTCCTGATAATTATATACTCATAGCTTCTAATGGGCTGATTATTATTATTATTATTATTATTATTATTATTATTAAAAAAAGCAATTATTCATCTGTCATTAGAATGATCACTAATTATATTTTTATTTTTTTACTTTCTTTGAACTTTGCTGTTCTCTTGCAGCAAGTAAGTAATTATTTCATTATGGCTTCTTGGTAGGCATCCCTGAGAAAGAAAAGGAGAAAAAAAATAAGTCTTAGGATATTGTTTAGTTTATTTAGGGATTGCCTCGAGGTCAAACGCAGTCAAGAAAACACACTGCATTTACGTACCGTTAGGGAGCATTTTGTGAACGTTCACTGAATAGAATACTTTGAAGCATAAACTGAGGTTGTTCTTAATCCCTTTAATTGCATTATCTATATGTAGATATATATATAATATGCTTCTTAGTTGTCTGTGTTGTTAAAAACATGGCATTGGAGCCTTTTAAGATGGCCATAAACTTTCTAAATGGTAGATGAAATCTATTAACTTAATTGGTTGTGTTATGAAGTCAGATTATTCCGATGGGCTTTGGTCTTTGCGTTGTACACAAAAGAGGCAGGATAGGCAATTCATCCACTTGGAATTTACAGAATGCTTTCCTTCTGGCTTATTTTCACTTTGATTTGCAGCGCAAGCAAATTATGCTCCTTACTTCTTTGACAATGGACCCAGCAGCACCAATGGGAACATGGCCCTTCTCAGCCTTTCAGAAGACACCGAAGTCGGTTAGTAGCACAATGCAGTGCCAATTTCTAAAATGATGAAATCTGCTTTTATTGTTAAACTAGCTGTCCCCTGCCACGCGTTGCTGTGGCCCAGTCTAGTGATCTGGAAAATAAAGTAATGAGAAAGTGTTGGTTTCTAATCTATGTAATTTCTTTCTGCTTGTGGGTAAACAGTATTTCTTGTTGTTTCTTTGTCAGTGTTGATGTGGAGAGTGTCTGGTTTGCCTACTCTGGAATATGCAACATATCATAGTCCCTTTAAGGGTCTCTTTCAAATCTATGATACTATATCTGTGTGTGAGAGAGAGAATCATATCTATCTATCTATATTTATGACTGGATGGCTCTTTGTCAGGAGGGCTCTGATTACATTTTCTTGCCCTGGTGAAGAGAGTTGGACTGGATGGCCTTAAGTATTTTCTGTTGGTCATGGGGGTTCTGTGTGGGAAGTTTTCCCCATTTCTGTCGTTTGTGGGTTTCAGAATGCTCTTTAATTGTAGTGAACTATAAATCCCAGTAACTACAAATCCCAAATGTCAAGGTCTATTTCCTCCAAACTCCATCTGTGTTCATATTTAGGCATATGGAATATTTGTGTCAAGTTTGGTCCAGATCCATCATTGTTTGAGTCCATAGTGCTCTCTGGATGTAGGTGAACTACAACTCCCAAACTCAAGGTCAATGCCCACCAAACCCTTCCAGTGTGTTCTGTTGGTCATGGGAGTCCTGTATGCCATGTTTGGTTCAATTCCATCATTGGTGGAGTTCAGAATGCTCTTTGATTGTAGGTGAACTATAAATCCCAGCAACTACAACTCCCAAATGTCAAGGTCTATTTCCCTTAAACTCCATCTGTTTTCATATTTGGGCATATGGAATATTCATGCCAAGTTTGGTCCAGATCCATCATTGTTTGAGTCCACAGTGCTCTCTGGATGTGGGTGAACTACAATTCCCAAACTCAAGGTCAGTGTCCACCAAACCCTTCCAGTTTTTTCTGTTGGTCATGGGAGCCCTGTGTGCTAAGTTTGGCCCAATCCATCATTGGTGGAGTTCAGAATGCTCTTTGATTGTAGGTAAACTATAAATCCCAGCAACAACAGTTCCCAAATGACAAAAAAAAATTGAGTGGAGGATATACATTGGACTGTTAGGTGTCTTGTGTCTAAATTTGGTGTCAATTCCCCCAGTGGTTTTTGAGTTGTGATGGTAGCACGAACTAACATTGCATTTTTATTTATATAGATAACAAAAAGGACATCACAGGTGTGTTTATAAGGGCTGTAGCCTATGTCTACTTGGTGAGACTTTATCATAAAATATGTTAACTTTATTGATCATTTTGTGATGATTTTATTTATTTATCGTGTATAATTATGATATAAAACACAAAGTTAAAAACTTGGTATTATGCTAAATGTCCTTTGACCAGTAGCTGGCCACTTGGAGTGCCTCTGGTGTCGCTGTAAGAAGGTCCTCCATTGTGCATGTGGCAGGGCTCAGGCTGCATTGTAGTAGGTGGTCTATGGCTTGCTCTTCTCCACACTTGCATATCGTGGACTCCACTTTGTAGCCCCATTTCTTAAGGTTAGCTCTGCATCTCATGGTGCCAGACCGCAGTCTTTTCAGCACCTTCCAAGTCACCCAGTCTTCTGTGTGCCCAGGAGGGAGTTTCTTATCTGCTATCAAGCACTGATTGAGGTTCTGGGTTTTTACCTGCCACTTTTGGACTCTTGTTTGCTGTGGTGATCCTGCGAGTACCTCTGAGGATCTTAGGAATCTGTTTCTTGATTTAAGACATTGGTGTGCTGGCTGATATCCAAACAGAGGATGGGCCAGAGATGTCAATGCCTTGGTCCTTTCATTACAGACTGCTACTTCCCAATGGATATCATGTGGTGCAATACTGGCTAAAAAGTATAATTTTTCCAGCAGTGTTGATATTCAAACAGAGGATGATATCCAAACAGAGGATGGGCCAGAGATGTCAATGCCTTGGTCCTTTCATTACAGACTGCTACTTCCCAATGGATGTCATGTGGTGCAATACCAGCTAAACAGTAATTTCTCCAGCAGTGTTGGGTGTAGGCAACCTGTGATATTGTGGAATGTCTCATTAAGAGCCACATCCACTGTTTTAATATGATGGAATGTATTCCATACTGGGCATGCGTATTCAGCGGCAGAATAGCAAAGCACAAGGGCAGATGTCTTCACTGTGTCTGGTTGTGACCCCCAGGTTGTGCCAGTCAGCTTTCATATGACATTATTTCTAGCATCCACTCTTTGCTTGATAGTCAAGCAATACTTCTTATAAGTCAGCATGGTCTATGGTAACTCCCAAGTATTTTGATGTGCTGCGGTGCTCCAGTGAGATTTCTTTCCAGGTAATCCTCAGAGCTCAAGATGCTTTGTGATGATAATTTGAGGGCATGTGTAGTCTTTCACACACGTGTGTGTGTGTTCTAATCTGTAGTTGTACACAACAAATTGTGCTATCCAGCTAATTAATTATGGATTCAATTAACAAAAGAAAGCACCCAGATGTGTGTTTTCATCTGCATTTGTTCTGTATACATAATCTTGTTTCCTAGAATGGGGTATTGAGAATGTCTCACCACATCCTACTTATAGGTACCCTATGTTGCTGATACTTGTTTCTTTTTGTTGCTTAACTAGATCAGTAAACCTCTATGCCATTTTATCCATGAGATATTTATCATAGGGCAGAGGCATTAAAACTTAAATGAAATGACAGGCTCAAGACCCTTTCCAGCCCAAATCAGGGGACATATCCCACTTTTCTTTTTTGCACAGACATTGACAGAGAAGCGTTGGCTAAATGCATGCATGCTTACATACATACAAATTCACCTTCTCACACAGGTTTACTTCTTCTATAACTTGTCTGATTAAATCGTGTTGCAAATGCCACTAATACCATCAATCATAAGCTTTCCCTCCCCATAGCTAATATTACTAAACAGTTCCAAAATACCACATTCTGTGCTGCATCTGCACATGCCCCGGTCTGACTCCTAGTAGTCTCTCAAGTGCTATCTAGCCAACCTAAACATTTTTGCTGTTCCAGTTTCCTACTCTGTTGGACACAACAGTTGATTCCACATGGAAATATCCAGGCAAAGAGCAAATTCAGCAGCCATCTTTGTTCTAAACCAGTGTACCACACCTCACTTTTACTTGTAATCTTCATGGCATATGCAATGCAAAATTATAGGAATGACTAAAACTCTAGCAGGCAGCTCTAGTAATGGCAAAGTAAATCTCTTTGCCATTAATAAGTATGGCAAAGAGATTTACTTTGCCATTACTAGAGCTGCCTGCTAGAGTGGGAGGTAGTGGCTTCCATGTCAGGACAGTGAATCTGCTCTAACTTTTAGTATGAACTTTAAAGGTATTGTCTAAGGTTTTCACGGCTGGAATCACTGGAGTGTTGTATGGTTTTCAGGCTGTATGGCTGTGTTTTAGCAGAATTTTCTCCTGATATTTCTTCGGCTTCTGTGGCTGGCATCTTCCGCAGATCTGATGTTGATAAAGCAAGTGGAGTATATATATATATGGAATATCCAAGGAGGGAAAAAGAACCAATGTCTATTAATCAAGTGTGAATGGTGCAATTAGTAAAGGTAAAGGTAGTCCCCTGACATTAAGTCCAGTCATGTCTGACTCTAGGGTGTGGGGCTCATCTTCATTTCTAAGCCGAAGAGCCAGCGTTGTCCATAGACACCTCCAAGGTCATGTGGCCGGCATGACTGCATGGAGCGCCGTTACCTTCCCACCGGAGCGGTACCTATTGATCTACTCACATTTGCATGTTTTCAAACTGCTAGGTTGGCAGAAGCTAGGGCTGACAGCAGAAGCTCACGCCGCTCCCCGGAATCGAACCTGCGACCTTTCGATCAACAAGCTCAGCAGCTCAGTGCTTTAACCCACTGCACCACCAGGGGCTCCTATGGTGCAATTAGCAAGCCTAATTTACAAATGTTTGAGTGGGATCTATGCATTAGCATGTTAATTGATGGATCCCACTCAAATACTCCAACTTTAAGGGTCTTGAGCCCTATCTACAAAATACCTTTTACATAGTCGGCTCAATTAAAGTCCATGAAAACTCAGAGGAGATAAATTGCTCTACCTGACATAGTAAAGGTAAAAGTTATCCCTTGACATTAAGTCTAGTTGAGTACGACTCAGGAGGGTAGTCATCTCCATTTCTAAGGCAAAGAGCTGGCGTTGTTGTTGTTACTCTAAAACACTCTTAGATATCTCCAAGGTCATGTGGCCAGCATGCCTGCATGGAGCTCCATTACATTCCCTTCGAAGCGGTACCTATTGATCTACTCACATTTGTATGTTTTCGAACTGCTAGGTTGGCAGAAACTGGGTTTAACAGCAGAAGCTCACCCCACTCCCCAGATTCTAATAGCCAACCTTTTGGTCAGCAAGTTCAGCAGCTCAGCGGTTTAACCCGTTGTGCCACTGGAGACTCCTCTAGTTGGCTTGTAAGATATCAAATGCCACTGCAGTCAGCCTTCTTGCCCTAAAGATAATTAAATTGTTTAAGGGGAGCAGGGGCAGTAGTTCTGGTGTGTCCCCAGGTGAATTCCACGCCCCTAAATGCTGCCATATATTGCAACCCTATTATTGTTGTGTACTGACAATTTTTTATGGTGTAATAGTAGTCAGCACCAATGAATTCCACTCCTAGTTTGCCCCCAAACATATTTTTGCATTAAAATGTAGTCAACAGCTTCAGTCCCATCCCCTGTTCCCTACTACCTCCTGGAGTCTGGCAACGGTTGTAACTAGGAATAGAAATAATAATTGAAAATGTTTGTAAAGTGGTCAAAAATGTTTAGTATTGAGAAGCACAGACATAAATAGTAATTGACTGATTAGAATAATCACAATTTAGGGCTTTGCACTGGGAGCAATCTACAGTTTACAAAAATGTGACAAAATGGCCTGGGGGCAAAATT